TTGAACCTAGGAGTATAAAGTAAAAGTGTTCAAAAGGGTTAGTCTTTATGTAATACAATTATTATTTCTCATGCAAAATCCTACTTAAGCTACATTAGATATAACTTTTATAACTATTTGATGGACTTTTCCTATTTCCATCAACCAATGCCATTAGCAGCATATCTAAACATCATGAGAAAAATTGAAAGAATCCATTCAACCAACTAACTCTAACCTCAACCACATTGTACAAGTTATTGCTATTATGTTACAAATAGTCAAGTGGTAAAAAAAATCTCTAGGTTAATTAAAATCTTGACAACTCTAAATACTTAAAAAAGACACAAATATCAAATAAAGGTAATTTTTACAAAATCCAGAGATTGAACCTAGGAGTATAAAGTAAAAGTGTTCAAAAGGGTTAGTCTTTATGTAATACAATTATTATTTCTCATGCAAAATCCTACTTAAGCTACATTAGATATAACTTCTATAACTATTTGATGGACTTTTCCTACTTTCATCAACCAATGTCATTAGCAGCATATCTAAACATCATGAGAAAAATTGAAAGAATCCATTCAACCAACTAACTCTAACCTCAACCACAATGTACAAGTTATTGCTATTATGTTACAAATAGTCAAGTGGTAAAAAAAATCTCTAGGTTAATTAAAATCTTCTGCCTTCAAAGGAACATATATTTTACAATGGCTAGAACTTTAAGACTTCTTATTAGAGGTTTTAGGATCAAATTTTGGAAAGGAAATAACAAAGTTATGGAACGAAATAGAAGGGAATGACCTCTTTTTGCATGGCTTAAACCCATTAAATTTTCACATGCACTAACAAAAAAGTATCAAGGACATGTTTGTTGTATAGGATGATAGATAGGATAAGGTACGATGATAATTATCCTATATCATATTTGATTTGAATCTAAACAAAAAGTATATGATTGCAAAGAGGATTAATGATCTTCTTGGCATAAAATGATTCAATCATTCCAAAGTAGAGAGAATTATTTTTAATCTATGGGATTGAACTTATATGTCTATTGTACTCTTAAAAATTATATCAATAATTTAAATTATATAAAATTTGAAGAATGATAATTTTAGCTAATAAATAAAATTATCCTATTCTAATTCTTATATACTTCAAACTCAAGATAGAATGATATTGTTTAATTTAATCTTATTTATAATATCATTTTATCATATATTATTATAATATTGTGTACCAAACATATTTTAAATCTTTAATTTTATTTTACCTTGATGAGAATATAGGCTAATATATACAAATAGTTTTTGGTACCATTTCTTTTTATTAAATATTATCTCTTTTATTTCAAATTGAGTTTATATTTAATACACTGTCAATTTGTAGATTTTATATATTATCAGTAAATCAGATGATATCACCTCGTAAATGAGCAAATATTAATCCTTAAAATAAATATATAAAAATTAATATTTTTTAAAAAATTTACTCATTAATAAGATAACATCATCTAATTCACTTCATTAATAAGATAATATCATCATATTTACTGTCAATATATAAAATATATATATTAATAATATATCAAATATAAATTCTTCAAAATTTGAATTTGAGATTTCTCAATTAAAATCTCTGAATTCTAACCGTTGAGATGTCTGGTCGAGCTCAAAACCAATCGCATGCACCAACAATAAGTTATAAAATTTTAATTTCGTACTGCCTCGATTAGAATACGAGGCTAATAGTCTTCGTACCATTCCCGATGTGAATATAGGGCTAATCTTTGATACCATTTTTTTTATTAAATATCATATCTCTCGTTTCAAGACTTAAATTTAAAATTTTTAGGTTGAAATCGTTAATTTTAACTGTCGAGATGTCTCGTCGAATTGAAAACTCGAAACCAATCTTCACAACCTTGAATAGTGACACCACATTTTGTTACAGTTATAGCAAACTAGTTGTGTTGGGTATTGGGACAAGGGCTAAAAGAAAGTGAATAGTTGAGACAAAGATACAAAACATGATCCAGGACAAGATATGTGATGTAGGCAAGAGGAGTATGATACATGGTTACCCTTTCGCTCATCCAAGAAAACATTGTTGCCGAGTCAGTTTCAACTATAAAAATGAAAATTGCAAAAGGTCACGTCTCACATGCAAACTCCACCTTTTCTTCACTCTTTTTTGGCCCTTTCTGTTCTTCGTCTTTTTCCCTACCCCTTACTCTTTCTCCACCAAGTTCACTTGGATTAAAAATCGACAATTCTTAAGCCAAAGAGATTTGCTTCTTTATTACTCAATCTTCCTTTCATTTGCAAAATCTAAAGCTTTCTTTTAATCTATATCAGCATATAATGTTAATGATTGAACTGATGACGAGTTTAGAGACATATACTAACTTTATTTTTTTAATATTTTTTTCCAAAATTTTGAAAATATATATCTATGCATAAGCACTTAATATCAATAATTATTACTAATTAGTTTAGAAAATATAAATCTAAAATTCTTTTACATATACATGATATAAAACAAAAGGTTCTGTTGTCAAATTCAAAGAATAAATCTCTTTTTCTTTTCACTTATCATCAAGATATATTTCACATCAAAATTTCTGATGTTACAAGAAAAATAAAATTTATATAAAATATTAACCAATTGAAAATTGCAGAAATTCACGCATTGGTGAATTATACATTATAAAATTGGAGAGGGAAATGGCAGTCAAATCTTAAAACCCGCTAAAATAATCTTGTCCCTTAACATTAAGGTAAATTTGGATGGTAGTGAGATTGTTATTAATAAAATTAAAATTTACAGTGATAGATTAAATGTTATTAAATTAATAAGATTAAATATTACTAATAACATTAAGGTAAATTTAGATGCTAGTGAGATTGTTATTAGTACAATTGTTATTAATAATATTAAATTTTACAGTTATCAATTGAAATTAATAATAAAAATATATATTTAAGTATAAATATAACGATAATAATTAGATTAAATATAGCAATCAACTGTCTCAATAAAGATATTGATTGTCATAATTGAAAAATATTTTTCTTTTCATTTTTACACTAATACAATCAACTTTCTGAGGTCCCATGAGCCACTCAATCTTTCCACCTTCAATTAAAGATTGAAGAAGTACCGAAGCCAACTACATTGTAAAATGCTATCCAAATGCACCTCATGATGTACTTGGTCCAAAAAAGGAGCCTAGATTCCAAAGTAGCCCTTACACACCATGTTGGGTGAAAAATCAACTCTACAGCGAGGTCAGAGATGGTAGATCTTGATTCTTCCCTCTCTTAATTCTCTTTTTTATTATTATAAATATTTTTTTGTTTATAAAAAAGTATGATGGTATATATACTAAGAGTTGTAATGTCACTTTAAGTTTACATCATCAACACTAACCATGTAGAAGGTGACTCAGATACCCCACTACTATTTGTGTTCTCCACCTTTCCATCTTGCTTTTTTTCTTACGTATGACTTTTTTTTTTTAACCTAAATTTTGGGGTTTGATAATCATTTTAGATTTTGATTAATTCATAATCAAATAGAATCAAACTTTATAAAGTGAGCAAACTCTTTTAAATTTATTTTTTTTATTTATAAAACTTAAAATCAAAATCTTATTTTAAAAAAATAAAATTTTTTACCACTCAAGCTAATAAACATTAATTTTTTCTTATGTATGATTAAAAAGTAAAAACTTTACTTTTGAATATATATAGATATATGTATGTATGTATGTATATATTATTTCTATGGATAATCATAAAGAATAACTTTCCTTATGAACTCAACACGGTGTTATGTCACCGCATCAAATCCTTCCTGACCATGTCGAATATAGATTCATTAATAAATTAAATATAAAATATATCACTAAAAGTTAAATGATAATCATTTATTGATGGCACCCAATCAAACTAAATTTTTCAATAGTATGTATTTTTAAAAAAAAATATTTTTATATTCATCTTTTATCTTAAAATCTCATTTTATCAATTATATCTAACTCATCTTTTTCTCAAATCAACAATTTAAATTATTTGCATATTTTGATACATCAACATATACATGGTACTATTGACATATGCCTCAAATTTCACAACATTCAAATGTTAAATTTGGAAGAATTTAAAAGATTGCGAACCTTAAAGGTGAGATTTAGATGAATGATAAAAGTAAAACCCCCTTAAAAATTTGCATATAGCAAAAGAAATTTATCATGCTCTAGCAGTTAAGGTAAATGTTTAAATATAAAAAAGTATTTAAACTAAAATTAAACTATCATTTAAATTCTTATCCTTTAATTACAACTAATTAAATTTTTGGACATTTATTTTCGTCAAATTAAATACTTATTCAATAGACATTAGTCACTTGAGCTACTTGACTACAATGACTTATAATTGAGTGAAAATAAATATTTAAAATGTTAATTAATTACAAATAAAATAATGTACGTTTTGTAGTTCAAGGGCTTTATATAGATATATATATATATATATTTAAGCTTAAAGTAAACTTATATTTCTTAATAGTAAATATTAAGTTTTAATTTTTGAAAACTATATTTTTTCTATCCAATAATTACTAAAGTATAGGTAATGAAAAGTAGGTAATGAAACAAATAATTACTAAAGTATAGCCTTCTTTTTTTTTTTTTTTTTTGGGTAGGAACCTTGCTAAACTTGGCTGATAGAATAGTTTATTTTCCCTTCTATCTTTATTGTTTTAGCTGCAAATGAAGAAATTATGGATTTGATAGAATAACACTGTAAGGTAAAATTATATATATATTTATCATATTGTAGGAGTATAAACTTTGTAATATTTGCCTTTATCTAGATTTTCCAAATAAATTTCCTGTAGTGAAATAACGTATTTACACACCCTCACAGGCTTGAGAAATGGACAGTTCCCCCCAAACCATTATAAATACGAGTCCAATACCCACCTTCTTCTTTAGGGAGAAACACAAACACTTCTTCAGGTGTTCTCTCTCTCTCTCTCTCTCTTCTTTTCAAAACTGCAACTCTTCCCTTTTTTGCTGATATTTCCATCACAATATCTCCCAACAATTAAGAGAAAATGGAGAAGTTGAGACGCTGTGGCAACTTCCTTGAGAGCTCCAAACCTTATTTTGCAATGATTTCATTGCAATTCGGGTATGCAGGCATGAATATTATCACCAAAGTTTCACTTAACCGGGGCATGAGCCACTATGTCCTGGTTGTCTACCGCCATGCTTTTGCAACTGCGGTCATAGCTCCTTTTGCTTTAATTTTCGAAAGGTTTGAAGACCATTCAAATTCAATATATACATATAGCAACTGAGATCAATTCATACAAAAAAATTCAATAAATGCTGAGTTTTAGTATGTTTTCAACGTATATCAGGAGAGGGCAACCAAAGATAACATTCCCAGTTTTCATGCAAATATTTATCCTGGCTCTTCTGGGGTTAGTTTTTTCTTTTTCTTTTTCTTTTTTTTCGGGAACCTTTTCTTTTTCAGGCATAAAGTTTTCTATGGAATCTTAAATTTAAGCAAAGTTATTGTTTCCTGATTAAAAAAAAAAAAAAAAAACAGGCCTGTGATTGATCAGAACTTCTACTATGCTGGGCTGAAATATACATCTCCAACTTTCTCATGTGCTATGAGCAACATGCTTCCTGCAATGACTTTTGTCATGGCTGTCATGTGCCGGTATGCTCATCAATCATGATCAATTATTATGATTTTTTTAGAATAGATTTGGTTAAGGCCTGACTAGCTAATTAATGATTGAAATTGAATTTTTGTTTGGTTTGGGATGAAAATAGGATGGAGAAGATTAATGTAAAGAAAGTGAGATGTCAAGCAAAGATAGTGGGAACATTGTTGACTGTAGCTGGGGCAATGTTGATGACATTGTATAAAGGACCCATTGTTGAATTATTTTGGAGTAAGAATATCCATCCTAGGCAATCATATGCCACTGACAATATTGGAATTACTGACAAAGATTGGGTCAAGGGCTCCATCCTCCTTATCTTTGCCACCCTTGCTTGGGCATCTCTCTTTGTTTTGCAGGTAATTAAACAGCAAAAATTTTTTTAAAAATCCCAACAAATTGATTAACTTTCATGCAAGGTTTAATTTTGTTTTTGGTGATATTTATCATTTTCATTAGGCAAAAGCATTGAAGACATACAAGAATCATCAGCTTTCTCTAACATCATTAGTGTGTTTTGTGGGCACTCTACAAGCAATTGCTGTGACATTTGTGATGGAGCACAAGGCCTCAGTTTGGCGAATTGGTTGGGACATGAACCTTCTTGCTGCTGCCTATGCTGTAATAAATCTCTCCCCTCTTTTTATACAGACATGAAATTGAAAGACGAAAGTGACTTTTTTTAATTTTATACATATATATATATATATTAATTTTTTAACGTTTTCAGGGAATTGTGACATCAAGCATATCATACTATGTTCAAGGCCTGGTGATAAAGAAAAGGGGTCCAGTATTTGCCACTGCTTTCAGCCCCCTGATGATGATCATAGTTGCAATCATGGGTTCTTTCATCCTGTCTGAGAAGATTTTTCTTGGAGGGTAATTTTTAATTTCTACACTCACTGTACATTTTTCTGCATGCATGCATGTTTATTTCTTTTTTTTTTTTATATACTTTATTTTATTTGAAGAAAAAAAATTCGAACATATCAATCAAATCAAATAACGAATTTATGCTTATAGCACACAAATGCTTGTATAGCTATTTTTCACTTTACCTTCTGTCTTTAGATATAATTTTTTACTTTTATTTCATTCATTGACAACTGACATTTGAATATTTCATCAAGCATCAGCACTTTTTCCCCTCTTTTCTTGAATTTTTTTTAATATACAAAAATATCATTTCAGAATTGGATTAATTTGGTTTTAATCAATTATCGGAATTAATTAATTAAGTCCACTTTTGGATTGATTAATTTCAGGGTGATAGGTGCCTTCCTGATAGTAATAGGGCTTTATTCAGTCCTATGGGGAAAACACAAGGAAAACAAGGAGAAAGAAGTTGAAGACGAGATTCCAGAGCCAGTTAAAGGTATCCAAGCAAATGGCAGCACCATCTTAGTAATTGAAGATATTGAAGCCAATGAAGTTGAATTGGGAAAAGCAGAAGCTAATAACAAGCTCTCACCAGTTGCCATAGCCATGCCAATACCGGAATCCCTTATCAAAGCCAAGCAAGACCAAAATAATTCAAGTTTGATTTACAATTGGGAAATTAAAGGGATGGGGTTTTTTGTCTTTACATCCCCCATTTTGTTTCTACCATTTTAAAAAAATGTTAGAGATTTATGTCATATATGGGGCTTTTTTTTCTGTCTTTTTTTCTCTGTTTTCATTAGTATAAAGTAAGGTTGTAAGACAATGCAGTTAAGGACCATGTACTTAATGAAGTATGAGCACATCCCAGAATCTCTTTTAGTATTTTCTTATCAGAATTTGTTTGTGCCTCAAATGAAAAGAAACTTTTTTATTGGAACTTGCATCATCTGATTATACACATGGCAGAATGTCTGACGTCTGATTCAGATTCCACTATGGTGAGCTAGTGGTTGACCTTTTCACTGTGCCAGTTGAGCCCATGAAAAGGCAAAAAGTTGTTTAAACACAAGCTCCAATTGCATCTTTGTTCTTGAATCTGATACTTTCTAATCAATCAAAAATCATTCCTTGAGTAATTGCTGGACAAATACATTTGTGCTATCAAATAGCATACAGACAGATACAATTTGGGTTCAATTGCTTTCAATTCTCTTGTTGTTCTCTCCTCCAATTTATTGAAATGAATAAGCATATTCAGGTGGCTGCTGATAAGTACAATTACTTCCACTCATTCTATTCTTATAGAATAATGGGTTTTTATCATATGTTACCAATGTGAAGGATACTCATTTACATGAGAAAAATGATAGAGTCCGAATTATTTTGAAGACACGTGAAATTTCTACTTTGTCCTTGGAATTTAAATCATTTAGGACAATACTTCAGAAAATTGCTTGTTTAAAAAAAATAACAAAAAGAAAAAGAAATGATTGCTGCAATTCCCTCTAGTGGTGGCTTATTTGACTTGTCTCCCAGTTTGTAAAATTTATAGAGTTCAATCTTAAGTTCCTTAGGCACATTGATTACTTTACACAACTTAAAAAGTCCCCAATGCCCAGCTAGCTGCCACGCTGTCTTTAAAAGAACTAGAAGCAGCCGCCCCGCTATGCTGGGTAAACTATTTTTTTGCCAAAAATTTTTATTATAATTTACTAAATTTTTTTGTTATTTTAAATATATTTATAATTATTTTAATATAAACATAATCAATAATAAAATAAATAAAATTATTATAAAATATTAATTAATATATATAGCATTTCATATATTGCGATTATAGTTGTTTATTAATTTTTTATGCTATATTTTGAGTATTAATCATTTGATCAAATATATAATTTTTAATTTATTGTAGTTCATAAATTTTTTTGTAAAAATATTTAAAACAAAATAAAAAATAATTTAATTTTTTGTATGTCTTTATATATTTATATTTATCACATTATATTTTTAAATTTTATTCTATTATAGTAATTTAATATGTTGTTAAGTTTTATGTAATTAATTTAATATGTAATTTTGTAGGGGTATTGTAGTCATTTTCATAAGGAACCATATGTCAAATTTTTATGAAGCAATTGCAAGGATATTTTAGTAATTTAATAAATAGTTAGTTTTATATTATGTTAAAATTTAATATGTAATTTAAAAAAGGTATTATCTTAAATTTCAAACAAAATGCTACATGTCAAATTTCTATGAAGCAATAGTAAAGGTATTTTAGTAATTTAATATGTATATATTACATTAAAAATTCATATATAATTTAATAGGGGTATTATAATAATTTTAAATAAAATACCATATGTTAAACTTTTATAAAGTAATGGCAAATGTATTTTAATAATTTAATAAGTGGTTAATTTTATATTATGTTAGAATTTAATACATAATTTAACAACAGCATTATAATAATTTTGAAACAAATTATTACATTTCAACTTCTTATGAAGCACTCATAAAGGCATTTTCATAACTATAATATGAAAGGTATTACAATAATTTTTGGTCAATTATGATAGCACGAGTGTTTTCATAATTATGGTTGGAGGGGTATATTAGTAATTTTAATTAATTATGATAAAGAGACTATTTTTGTAATTATAATACGATGGTTTTATAATAATTGTAATCAATTATGTGAAAATAAAAGTATTTTCGTAATTACAGTAGAATGTCATTGTAATAAATTTAGACACATGTTAACATCATATCAAATAAATAAAGAGGAATTATATTGATTTCCAAGGAAATTGTTTTAATATATGTAATTGATATGGTAGAGAGAATATTTTCATAATTATGGTAAGAGTAATATTATAGTAATTTTGTTAATTATGGTAGGAAGAGAATTTTTTTAATTATATTAAGAAAGCATTATAATAATTGTGACAATTAAAAAAAAAAAGGTATTTCTGTAATTATCATAAAAGATATTATAATAAATTTGAACAACATCACATCAAATAAATATAGGGACATTATAGTAATTTCAAAAGAAATTGTTTTAATATATGCTATTGATTATTTTGAGCACCTATTCTTTATAGAATTGAGTATTTTACTTATAATTCACTTACAATTCGCTTTATTATAATCTTATAATTAATTAATTATAATAAAAAGTTATGTAAAAATTAACTACTTAAAAGTATGAATTTTATGAAAAATTTTTTTAATAAATCCTACACAACACTAAATTATTATTAATAAATTATACTACTCACGAATGATGTCCATGTTTTGTAATAGATATTGATGCCGGATACTATGGTTTGGTTTTAGGTTGTGGCAATGTGACTGGAGAATCAATAAAAATGTGTTCAATTTTCAATGGAAAATTTTGAATGTGTCCAACAAGAATTTGAGAGTGCTAGAGATAAAATTTCTCCTTAAATTTTATTAGTTTTTAATTTTTCGAAGTGTTTATGGACACCTTAACTAATTATTTGCATCCGCCATTAAATTATATTATAGTAATTATAGGTGATTTTTTAGCAAACAATTTCATAAAAAAATTTTATTATAAATTTCAAATATGTGATATATTGTAAAATTATAAATACATTTTGTAACACAGTAGCACCATTCCAACAAATGATCTCTTGTAGAAAAAAAAAATCTAACAGTATAAACATTCTTGTGTTGCAATATAAAATATATGGTTTGATTTTCGAGATATTAGCATGTTGATTTATTTAAGATGATCTATTATATATATATATATATATATATATTTAAAATGGCCAATATTTAGTTAAGTAATAAATATATATTTCATATTTAAAAATTGGGTTCGAAATATTTAAAAAAAAAAAAAAGCCTATTTATATGCAAGTCGTGCTCATCGGATATGAATATGATCCTTTTAAGATACTAGTACTAAAATGTTATATGGCTTGGTCGTACTGGTATACATGCTTGTAAGAAAATTTATATCACCTGTCAACTTGACAGTCGACATAACACCACCAGTACTGATGATGTCATATGTATTTATATATATATATATATATATATTCCAAGAACTGATCGGCCAAACTATTGACACCTATATATCTCATTAACATCTTCTTCATTCTTCAATATGCAGATTTTTCAAAGGTCATATATATATATATATATGCATATAGCTGCTTTAGCATCTTAATTATATTCTTCTTTCTCATCGAGCCCCATTTTGATTAACACCTGATATGTCATCTTAAAAGAGCTGTCAACACCTACATTTCTGATCAAAAGAATTTTTTCCCATTCTATATGCACCCAAGACAGTTCTGTTTTGTCTTTTTTAGAATAAAACTAATGACTCAAACCCTCCACTACATACCCCCTTTCTTTTCCTTTTTTTTTTTCTATTTATTAATCAAAGACTCAAACTTGCATATAGAGTGAAAGCAGAAGTTAGTGATTAAATGCTTAATTTTAAGATCTAACATTTACTAATTTTTTTATTTTAAAATGCAACATTTTATTTTGATAAATTTAGAATTTCAACATCTTGATTATGATTAATTGAGGAAGATTGATAATATTTAAAGGAAAATTTAATTATTCTATGATAAATTTTCTTAAATTGGTTAGGGTTAAGCAACTGAAACAGTAAATTGCTCAAAATAAAAGTCGCATCTTTAAATGATTTTTTTTTAAATTTTTGCAAACATTAAATTTAAAAATAAGTATTTAGCTAATGTCAATCCAATAAGATTTTAACAAAATTGTATAGGTAATATTTGATATGAGATAATCACTTTAAAAATCATAATAATCTACACACAGTTATTAATAAACATTTAGTGATCTTATATGACAATGATATTAAATCATCGAGATTAATCAAATTATTGTTTTAGAAGGTGATTTAATTCTCATTCAAAAGGGTGAAAAACATTTATCAATAAAATAAATAAATAAAATTAGTGATAGTAAATATTACTCATTTAATAAATAAATTAAAATTTGATTCTTTTTAAAATTATAATTATTTTATATTATAAATTTTTATATTTTCAAATTAATATTCATTATAATAAGTTCAAAAATAATTTATGTATTTTTTTACTTTTTCTAATGTTTTATATATAATATAATGTATTTGTTTTTTATTATGATTTCAATAGATTGGTTTTATTTTTTAATTCAAATTTTTTTTTACATAATTTATATTATAAAAATTAGTTGACTTAACACTATAAAAAAAAAAAGGTTTTACCAACAAAATTTTTCATCAGTAAAAGTTAAAAATCCGTTGGTAATACTTTTAATGATGATTTTATCGATGAAAAAATTATGTCAGTATTAACTATGTTGGTAGTGTTATTCCATCTGCAATTACCAACGAAAATTCCTTCAGTAAAATTCGTTGTTAATTATCAATAGATTTATTAACGATGATTTTACTTATAGATTTTTTCGTCGATAATGGATTTTTTTCAATCAGTAAATCCATTGATAATAAAATGAAAAAATTTATTGGTAAATCAATCTGTAATAATTAAAATTTTGTCGATAATACTAAATTTCATTGTAAAGTTGTCGATAATAACCATGAAAATGGTCACAAAATAATTTTTTCCATCGATAATAATAAAAAAAATTCGTTAGTAAATCCACTGGTAATAATAAAAATTTTGTCGGTAATAATAAAATTTTATCGATAAATTCCATCAGTAAAGATATAAATTCATAAATAATTTAAATAAAAAGATTTATAATTATTCAAAAAATTTATAATTATTTTCAAACCCTGTAAATTACAATTTAAACATGTGTAATTATTTAAATATGCTTTTATTATTAATTAAAATATCAAATGCAAGTAACATCCATCAAATACATCATCCAACATT